GCCCACACGAGGCAAGCGGGAGGTCCCGGCGGGCCCGCTGGCCTTCGGGCTTCCCGCGCGCGCTGCGCCCGTGCAGCTTGCGTGGCGCCGTGGCGCGATTTCCGCGCCCGGCGAGCGACAGGGCCGTCCCGCACGCCTCCGGGGCTCGCCCCTCGCTTGCCTGCCCCACGCGGGGAGGGGAGGGGAGGCGGGGCAGTGCCCGGAGGCCCCCCGCGCTGGCAGGCAGCGACGGCGGGGGGCCGCGCGCGGCGGGGTCGAGAGAGCGCCTCCCGGGGGGCGAAGGCCCCCAGAGCAGCCGCGGAGCAGGGCGGCGCAGGCAGGCGTCGCTCCCCGGCAGGCAGCCGTGGCGTGGCAGGGCAGAGGCGCCGGGAAACCCGGGGCGAGCCCGGCTGCCTCCCCTCGCCCCCCCCCGCGCTCCCCGCTCCCCTTGACTTCAGCGGGAGAGTCGTGGGGGGAGGCTGCGCCTGCAAACGGGCCGTCCAGCCCCCGCAGTGGCTAGAATCGGTTTCGGGCTTGGGCAGCTGCAGACGTGGTTCCTGGAGCCAAAAGCTCCCTCTGGCTCCAGCCTCCCGAAACAGCGCCCTCTTGCCAGTCGCCAGCTCCTGGCTTCCCAAGGCTGGAGCAGTCCCGGAGGAAGAGGGGCCAAGGCCAAGGCCTGCCTGCGGCCCCCAGGCCTGGGGTCCCGAACTCCTCCCCCAGCTGGAGCTTTCAGACATGATGCAACAGAACGAAGCCAGTCTTACGATGTGTTTCTATAGCTGGAAAAAGCAGTAATAAGCAGAGATACCCTCAGGCATGTGCAGAGGGCTTCCCCATCATGCCAGAGGAACTAGTATGGGTCCCAGGCACATCTTACTGAATAATTTGTTCCGAATGTTTGATGGGCCAACTTTAAGCATGGAGTCCTCCAAGGCAGCACTGAGCACTGGGGGAAGCCGGGAGCTTTCCGGGAGTCCCACAGCGGCTGCTTATTCCTGTCTTTCCCTCGTGGCACATGCAGGTGGAGGGCCAGGAAGGCTATGAGGATGAGGACCTGGCAGAGGACCTGATGGACGGAGGGGACGAGGCCCGGTCCTGGACCCCGCAGGAGAAATCCTTACATGAGGCCCGGCTGAAGGCCAAGGCCAAGCGCCGGCTGCGGCGCACCTCTTCGCGGGACTCCAACCGGGAATCTCTCTCCGAAGCGGGGGAGCCAAGCCCCGATCCCAGCAGCCCCCGGGGCAAAAACCACGACCGCAAGTCCCGCATGGGCAAAGGCCGTGGCCTGCCAAAGAAAGGTACCATTCCAGGGCCAGGCTGGTCGTCGTGGGCTGCCCTCATCCCGCCAGGCCCCCTCCCGCGGGCCGAGCGAGGCAACGCTGTGGGAAAGCGGGCTCTTGACGCGCTTTCTCCCCCCAGGTGGTGCCGGGGGCAAAGGCGTGTGGGGAGCCCCCGGGGTCGTCTACAGTTACCAGGAGCCTGACGCACGAGACCCCAACTACGACGAGGCAGCGCAGGTGCTCTGGGGCGGGAGGGGAAAGGGGGCGCTTCCAGGCAGCTTCTGGGTCCAGCCACACGCCCCCCCCCGCCCTGCTGCCCTCCGCCCCCCCTCTTGCTGCTGCTCGTGGCCGAGGCCTCCCCGCAGGCTCTGCAGCCACGCACCACTCATCGCCGCCGGCAGAACCCACGGCCTTCCGAGCCGGGCTCTTTGTGCCATGCGGTTCGCGTGGGCAGGCCGGCCATGTCCGTCCCAGGCGGCTTCCTCGGCCTCGCCTCCTGTCCGATCAAGAGCTGGGCTGGAGTAGCGGCACTGCCTCCGTGACAGTGGGGAGAGGCCCTCGTTGCAGGGGACTGCTCCCCCCACCGGAAGGGGGAAGGGCTGTGGGCAGGGAGGCCAGCCGCTGGCCCCCTCCAGCGTCTCGCCCGGACTGGCCGCCCTCCCAGGTTCTCCGCCCGGTCGCAGGGGAATTGGCCCTTCAGGCTAGTGCAGATCTGGCCAGTGGCCGAGGTCTTGGCTCAGCCATGCCCCTTACCTGTTGGCTTCCACAGGCATTCTGGCCCTGGTTAGCTCCAGAAGGGGGTGCGGGATCACACCAGCAGCCCACCCAGTCTGGCATTCGCGTCCACGGTAGCCAACCCGGTGCCCCTAGGAAGCCCACAGGGAGGACGTGAGGGCAGGGGGGCTCTCGTCTGGTGTCCCCTCGCAGCCAGGGGCAAGCTGCCTGGTAGTGGAAGCGGCACATGCCCTTGCTAGCTCTGTTCTCCAGCAGTCCCCTTTCAAGCCGCCCAGGCTGGTGGCCTGCAATGCAACTCATGCAAGCCAACTCCAAAGTCAGGTCTGCTGTGTGAAGGGCTTCCTTTTCTCTCTTGGGTCCAGGAGAAAACCCTCTCAGCTTCTAATGTGAGGGAGAGAGGACTTCTCCGTTGCTTTCTCCATGCTACACATCATGTCACTTTGGTTCCAGAGGAGGAGGGGTGGGCACGGCCAGAGCAGGGTGGGGGGGGGGTCTTCATGGGACTTGGTACATTGCTGTGCTAGCAACCTGGATGCCCCCCAGGGCAAGACGGTGTATGCCACAGTGGTGCCTGAGCTGGAGGAGGCGGAGCTGGAGAAGACTGTGCAGCCCATGGTGCTGGAGTACTTTGAGCATGGGGACACCCTGGAGGTTGTGGTGAGTTCACGGGGAGGGGAGGGGAGGGGAGGGCCCCCTGCGTGGCGGCAGCTTCTGCAGTCTCCGCAAAGGAGGGTCCGTTGGGTGGCCACTGTCCGGGGCGAAGGGTGCAGCCCGCCTCCGGCGCGAGCCGTGATCCCGGCAGGCGCGTCTGCATTCGTGGACGGAGTTGCTGGCTGGCCCGAGGAAGCGCTCTGTGCGGACGGAGCCTGTCCGGGCACTTTGCTGGTAGGAAGTGATCAGATGTCTGGGAGTCTCCCGCGGGTGGGTCAGGTGTGCGCCTACCAGAAAAGAAAAAAGCACAGCAAGATAGGCGTTGGTGCTCTTTCTAACCCAGGTGAAATTAATAAGTTTTCTTGCGTTTACAAATGTTAAGTGATTGTGCCACCGGGTGAAGATAAAGATGATTGATGCGATTTCCGTGGCCCTGCAGCAGGCCAGGCTGCGGCCAGAAAAGCCTGGACTGGGCAGAGCAGCCTGGCGCCTTCGCACGGGTGGGGGGCTGGGGGTGCCGGGCAGTTTCTGGTGTGTTGGCATTTGGGAGTGCGGGTGGGGCTGGGAGGCATCTGCTGCTATACAATATCTTGCACTGACTTGAGGCTTGACCCAAGCCTAGGAAGAAAGGACTTGAATGCATCACTGATTGGCAATTGCTGTAAAGGGAGCCAGACGGCTGCCTGAATGGGATGGCGTGAGCTGGTGTTCTGCAGCGGCAGGAGTTGGACCCAGTGGCCGTGTGGCCCCTGCCAGCTCTACTGTTTTTCTATGATCCGGGTGAGGCTCATGGAACCAAGGGGAAGGGCCTTTTCAGTGAGTTATGGAACAAGCTCCCACTGAGGCCCAACTGGCATCAAGTTTAATATCATTTTGGTACCAGGTTAAGGCCGTCCTCTACCAGAGAGCATTGAATTGATTTACTGCTCTATTGGGGCTTACGTTAGCTGCTTCAGCAGACCTTACAATTTAATTTGTATAAGCTGTGGTAGCTGTTTGTGTTCGTTTTCAATTTGGCTTTTAAATTGTGTAATGTAATGCTTATTTTTTAATGTTGCCTATATTTTATGTGCTATTGCCTGCTGCCCAAAGGTTTCAGCTCTTAGGCAGCACAGAACTAGAATTGATCATTGTCATAATGCTGGAAAGAGCATTGGGATTTGCCTGCTAATGTATGATTGTTAAGGGTTTGGAGAGATCTGTGGGGCACTGACCTCTGTCCACCATTACTGTGGGGAGAGCCCGAGCGGTCCAGCAGCTTGAGGCTCCAGTCAGCATGGGGCATGCAGGGCAACTTCGGGTCAGTCAAGTCACTCTCAGCCTAAGCTACTGACCGGCTACCTCCGGTGTCCTCCCCACCAGCTCTTTTATGACTGGGATGGAGTTCATCCCCCCAGCTCCAGGATCGGGCCCTGGAGATCTGAGCGTGCTCATTCCCTCCAGGTGCTCCTTGGCCACCTGCCTGCCAGTCTTGGGCGGCCCTGTCTCACTTGCAGCTTGTGCTTCCTCTTGGTTGTAGCTGTACTCGAGGGAGAAGACGGAGGCGAAGGAGGAATCGGCCCCTCTGCCTTTTCCTTGCCGTCTGTTATCACCCCACCATCTGCTTTATCCCTAATTCCTTGCTGTTTGTTTATATTCTTCCTTTGTGGCATGGCCCTGCTTCCACCTCCTGTACGTGAGTCAGACCTCGCCTGGGATACTCTGTCCAGTTCTGGGCACCAAGATTTAAGAAAGATGCAGAAAGATTAGAAAGGGTCCAGAGGAGGGCAACAAAGATGATCCAGGGTTTGGAGACACTGCCCTGTGAGGAGAGACTGAGAGAACTGGGCATGTTCAGTCTTGCAAAGACCGAAGGGAGACATGGTATCCCTCTGTAAGTACCTCAAAGGCTGTCACAGAGAAGAAAGTCTCTTCTTGCTGATACCAGACTGCTGGACGCGGAATAATCAGTTCAAGCTGCAAAAACCCAGATTCAGGCTAGATTCCAGGAAAGGTTTCCTCACTGTCAGAGCAAGACAGGAGAACCAGCTGCCTGGGGAGGCGGTGGGCTCTCCCACACTGGAGACATTAAAGAAGCTGGACAGCCCTCTGAGTGGGATGGTGTGACTTGGTGTCCTGCAACAGCAGGGGGTGGACTTGATGGCCTTCCTGGCCCCTTCCAGCTCTGCTATTCTGTGATTCTATGTTCTTTTTTTGCATTCAGGTTGTCACTTAACCTTTTGTGGAGCCACGTGGGCTTCCACACTTTTTTCTTCCACACGTTTTTCTCCTTGGAATTGTTCGTAGTTGTGCTTGGAGAATCTTCTTTTTCAAGATTTCCCATCCCACTTGGACCTTTCCTTTTCCTTTAAAAATGAGTTGCCATGGTACCTCACTTATCATTGTTCCAATCAGCAAGCCAGCTAAAATGGTCGGGATGGAGTAACTGTCAGGCAGATCCAGAGTTGGCTACGGAACTGGACTCGGAGGGCACCCCTCAATGGCACCCTCTCAGACGAGGGGGGCGATGGGTGGGGTGCTTGCAGGCTCAGTCTGGGCCCAGTGCCCTGCCATGGTTTTGTTAATGACTTGGGTGGAGAGGTGCAGGGGATGCTGGTCAGATTTGCAGAGGACACAGCACTGCATGGGAGAGCGAATATCCCGGAAGACAGAACCAAGATTCAGGGAGATCTTGATAGCTTGGCGCGCTCGGCTGAAAGTGACGGAATGACGTTCAGGAGGGATGAATGCCAAGTCCTGCACCTGGGAAAAAAGAGGGGACACTTGCAGGCGAGAAGGGCCTTGGGTGACTCTAGAGCTCTGCCGGCAGCAAGGAGAGGAGCGGCTGGGGCAGCCTTTGCCACGCTCACTGCCTCCGAGCAGCTTGACTGGAGGCCCCTGCCAAGGCTCAGCTGCCTCCAAGGGCAGCTTTCCTCCCCCTGCACGCACGCAGTTCCCTTTCCGCACCTCACTCTGCTCCAGGACACACCACCAAGCTCTGGCACAGAGAGGGTGCTCGGGACCTGGGTCACCCCTGTAGTCGCCAGGTCAACCGGAGAGTCAGCAGGACCACCAGCCATCCCAGCGAGAACCCCAGGATCCGTCCGCTCCCGGGGCAGACCAGCACACTGGGCCCCGAGGGGGAAATCTGCCGCTAGATTAGCTCTCGGCAGGCAGTGATTTGACTTGAGGAAGGAACCGATTCCAGGCTGCCCACCCTCAGGCCACTGTCCCCATGCCGGCTGGAAAGAGCCAAGCCCAGGAGTGGCCTGCTGCATGCACTGGGCCAGTGGCATGTTGGGACAGACCCCCGGTGGCCACGGAGCCCCTGAAGTCCTGAGCCAGCCCTGGCGGGCTGCTGCCCTCAGGGAGGCGACCGGCCCCGGGTGACTTTGGCATGGCAGCCCCGGTGACCCACCAGCTCCGCTAGGCTGGGTCACGGGCAGGCAGCACACAGCAGAGTCCACGGTCGAGCCTGCAGGCTGGGGCCCGGGCGGCAGCGGGACGCCAAGGCGCAGTGGGGCTCGAAGGCGCCCGAGGCTTGGGAGAGGAGCGGCCCTCCTCAGCCAGGTCCGGCCCTGGGTGCGGAGGACCAGTCTGGGCAGCCCGGGGTGCGAGGCCGGCCCCAGGGCCATGCCAGCAGCTGGCTAGGGGCTCTGGCCCTGCCCTGCGGAAGGCCCTGCCCGCGGCGGCCAGAGAGGGCCAAGGGCCCCCCTTGGAAGCGGCAGGACCCTCACCCAGTATGGCCCCCCCTCCTCCGGCAGGAGCTGCTCCGGGACCTCAACTTGGGCAGCCGCAAGGCCGCGGTGTCCTCGCTGGCCGTGACGCTGTCCCTGGAGGGCAAGGCCAGCCATCGGGAGCTGACCTCCCGCCTGCTCTCGGACCTCGTGGGGAAGGTGCTGAGCACCGAGGACATGGCCGCCGCGTTCGACGGCATGCTGCGCGACCTCCCCGACCTCATCCTGGACACGCCCGAGGCGCCGCAGGTGAGCTGGCCCGCTCTGGGCGGGGGGCCGGGCCCGGGGCTGGGAAGCCTGACCCCCCACTGTCTGTCTGTCTGTCTGTCTGTCTGCAGATGCTGGGCCAGTTCATCGCCCGGGCTGTGGCGGACCACGCGCTGCCCCCCGACTTCCTCGAGCGCTACAAGGGGCGCGTCGACTGTGAGCATGCACGGTGAGGGCTGCTCTGCTCGCGCTCCCTCCCCCGTCCCATGGGCGTGCTGTGCGTGGCACGGCAGGCCTCCCCGGGCAGGAGGGGGCACCCGTGGGCAGCGTCTTGGCTGCCCCCTGCTCCCTGAGGCCCCCCTGACTCTCTGCCTCCCCTGCAGGGCCGCCCTGGACCGGGCTGCCGTCCTGCTGCGCATCAAGCGAGACGTGCACCGGCTGGACAACGTGTGGGGCGTGGGCGGCGGCCAGAGGCCGGTCAAGCGCCTGATTAAGGAGGTGAAATGCCTGCCTGGGGCACTTCCGGGCCACCTCCCGGGTGGGCGGTCTGCTTGTCCCTTCCCCACAGCGCTGTCCTTCGGGGCTGCTCTGGGGCCAGTTTCCTTCCTGCTCAGGCTCAGCCAGTGCTCGCATGCGGGGACCTCATGGCAGCCCGGGGAGCCGAGCTGCCTCCGGCCTCACGAAGGAGCGGGCAGCTCGAGTGGCTCAGGCGGGCTCGGCCACGCAGGGGGCCGTGCTCGGCTCCCCAGGCTGCCATGCGCCGTGCTCTCCAGAACTGGTGCACCCACCTGAAGTGCTCCTCTGGAGGCAGAGCCCGGCTCAGTGGCTCAATTTGCCCGGACCAGCATGTAGCCATGCAGAAGCACCCAGACTAAGAAGCGGGGGGGCACTGGTGCTGGGGGCCCTGAATGTTCCAGGTGAGACACCCCACTCCTGCTGACCCCACGGTGGCTGTCCCAAACACTGGAGGCCTGAGCCGAGCGCTGCCCGAGGGTGCTGACCCCAGCACCAGGAAGAGTGGAGCGAGGCCTGGGGGTTCCTTTTGGAGCCAGCCTCGCAGATCCGCAGGAGGCCCGCAGCCGGGGCTGTGCGCCCAGGCACCCGACCTCCTCCTCTCCTTCCCCCTACCAGATGAACCTGCTGCTCCGTGAATACCTGCTGTCGGGAGATGTGTCCGAGGCGGAGCGCTGCCTGCGTCAGCTCGAGGTGCCCCACTTCCACCACGAGCTCGTTTACGAGGTAGGGAGGGGATGCGGCCGGCGGGCACTCGCTCTGGCCCTGGGGGGCCCGGGATCCGGTGGCCGCTCGCTGCTGGCCGGTGCCTCGCTGGCACCCCTTCGTGGTGCTGCTGCCCCTGGCTGGGCCGGGGGCCTCCTCCCTCTCCGCCACGTGCTCAGACACACTTCTCTCCCGTGTCGTGCCAGGCCGTGGTGATGGTGCTGGAGTCTTCTGGGGACACGGCGGTCACCATGATGGTGAAGCTGCTGAAGGTCCTGTGGGAGACGGGCCTGGTGACTCTGGACCAGATGAACCGGGTAGGGCCTCTCTCCTCCGGGTGGGATGGATCCTGTGCGCCACAGGCACAGCTGAGAGGGGCGGGCGGCAAGACTGGCCTGTGGGGGCGCCAGAGAGGCGGCAGTGCCCGGGGCCGAGGGTGGGCCTGCCCCGGCTCCGTGCTGACCCACGCTGTCACCTCTCCTCCGCCCCCGCAGGGCTTCCAGCGGGTCTACGGTGAGCTTGGAGACATCAGCCTTGACGTGCCGCTGGCCCACGGCCTGCTGGAGCACCTGGTGGACCTCTGCTTTGAGGAGGGGGTCATCACCAGGCAGCTGCGGGACTCCTGCCCTGCCAGGTACGGCCGGCGCAGCGCCTCTTCTCTCGCCTCCGTGGCCGGGAGGTCGGATGGGGCTGCCCCGTGTCCTCGGCAGTGAGCTCTGTTGTGAGCTGCACTTCCCCTCTGAGCGTTTGCAGTCCCCCAGCATTTCTTCAGGGAAGCAAGATTCAAGGTGGGTGGCGGGAAGCGCTTCCGGATGGCCAGGGCCCCCAGGGCATGGGAAGGGCTTCCCCGGGAGGTGGTCGAGGCCCCCTCGGTGAGGGCATTCGAGGATAGACTGGACATGCTCATGGTGGGTATGTTGTGAGCGGAGCCGGCTGGAGCCGCGGGGGTCAGACTATTTATTTATTTATTTATTTTATTTAAACCATTTCTATGCCGCCCCCATCGCAACAAAGCCTCGGGGTGGCTCACAAAGACTAGATGGCCTGGGAGGACCCTTCTGCCTGCCTCTGTTTCTGCTTCTTTGCTGAACACTGTTACTGTTCCATACAGGTCTCTGAGCATACACAAAGTGAAATGTTGAGCCATCCGTTACCCAAAACTCTCTTTATGAACCCTTCTGCATCTCTCCTTGGGGGAGGAGTGCTGTGAAAGTGGGCCTGCCTTTGCTCTGCCTGCAGCATCCCCAGTTGGACTCCCTATAGCGACTGGCCTCCCTCCTCAGGAGGCAGGAGCGGCCCATCAGAAAGCTGCCCATCTTAATGTCCCCTCCCTCAGGAGGCTGCAGCTCCCCACCATCCTCATGGCCGAGTCGCCTGGCCCTGCACCTGCACCTCCCTCCCATATCTATTTGCTGAGGAGCCTCAGGAATGTGGACTGCAGCTGAGGCTGCCCCATTTCAAAAACACTCTCAACTTGGAATCCGAGTTGTTGGTCCCGCCAGGATGAGTAGCTTCCCATGCACACATCTGGGAACTGACAGGACACATGCGCGGACAGAAAGCGAGGCAAAAGGGGCCTCCTGGGCCATCTAGTCTGACCCCCTGGCTCCAGGCCTTGTGCATGCAATCCCCACCTTGTGGCTGTCCACGTCTTTCCCTGAATACCTCACGGACGGGGCCTCCACCACCTCCCTCGGAAGCACATTCTGTTTCCTCGGGATTCTAACCATCAGGAAGTACTTCCTGACATCCAACCTGAAGCCTGGTTCCTTGATCCTTGCCCCACTGGAATGCATCCTGTCTTCTGCAGGCAAGAACAGATCATGGCCCCCCTCCACGTGACACCCCTCACACACCCATAAGTTGGTCCAAGATCCCCCGGAGTCTCTTCTCCAGGCTGAAAAGACCCCGTTCCCTCCGTCTCTCCTCATGTGTCATCCCTCCCACCCGGCTCACATTCTTGTGTTCCTGCGCTGGACTGCTTCCAGCCTAGCGGTGCCTCTCCTATCATGTGGAGCCCAGAACTAGACACATTAATCCAGAGTCATGTGGAGCAGCACCAACCCCTCCCTACTCCCGGAAGCCGCGCTTCTGGCTAGACGTACAAGGGCAGCATTTGCCTTCTTAACCGCCGCCACACGACTGGCTCACATTCAGGCTGCTTTTGACACGTACCGAGGTCCCGCTCACAAGTGCCGCTCTCCAGCCACACCTGTGACACCTGTGCCTGGGTCCCAAGCGCAAGACCTCGCACTGACATGGGATGCCACCCTGCTCGAAGGTTCCCCTCAGCCTTTCACGGCGCTTGTGAGGGGAGGAAGGCCGGGCAGGTGGGCAGGGGAAGTGTTGCAGGTTGAACTGGGAAAGGCGAGCATGAGCGTGGGGGGCAGGCAGGTCTCCCGAGGTGGGGTGTCTGTTGCGGGGGGGTCCCTGCCATGCCTAACCCCCCTCCGCATCTCTTCCCAGGGGACGGAAGCGCTTTGTCAGCGAGGGAGACGGCGGCCAAATTAAGCAGTGATCGGACGCTTCGAGCCCCCTCCCCCGCCAGGCCGGTTGATCGCAATGGGGAGGCCGGGAGCCCCTCGGCCGACTCTCCCCACCCCGTACTCCCAGCAGCAGGGCCGGCCTGGCCGCTGGCTCACTCGTGCTTCCCGGGACCGGAGGAGGGCGGGCGGGCGAGCGGGCGGGCCGAGGAAGGACGGCTGCCTCCCCCCACAGCCCTCGGCACCGCCACGCGCGCCTCGGGCGGCGCCGGAGGGGCTTCGCTCGCTTGGCGCCGGGCCGCAGAGCCCGCCCGCCCGCTCGCTGCTCCCTCCCGCGGGACTCGGCAAGCAGAGCTGCGGCGCTTCAACGGGGCTCGGGCGCGGCCGAGGCAGACCCGCGGGAACACGGGGGCAGGTCGCCGGGGGCGGCCGCGCCATGCCGGGGCGGGGGCGCGGGCACGGGCCGCTGTACCAGACAAGCTCAATAAAGGCGCACCGGAGCGACGCGGCTGCCTGTGTCTTCCTGGGCTCTCGTGGGGTGGGGCGGCCGCGCGGGGAGGGGAGGGGCGCTCCTCCCGGCGTGCACCGCGCTCGGCCAAGCTGGGGGCGGGGCGGCGCCGGGACACGTCAGGG